AAATCTGACCTCTCTGTCAACGAATGATGGAACTGAAGGGTTCATAACCAACACCGTGCTAAAAATCATCCTTTCTAAGCAATTGTAAAAGACACGTATCGGTTACATAGGTTAAGATGAATAATACATGACTAGTTTTGCATTCAAAAGGTTCAGCAAACAAGAAGGATAAACCTTAATGCACATAAGTGTGCAAAGGATACATTATTTACATTGAATAAAGAATCCCAATTCTTAGTAAACTCTCGCACGTTGTTCATGAACATTTCTAGTCGACAAACAACGTCTTTATCAACAGGAAGATGAATAGCAAAAATATTCTGGTCTTTGACTATCATTTCAACAATTCTTTGGAGCGCAGAAGTGAACTCAGAATTCAGGTCTTTCTCGCAGTCAGAATAGACATGGCATGTTTTGAAGTTTCCCATGTATGCGGCTGGTCAGCTGCTTCCGGAGAGGAGTGAAAGTCCAACAGTCCACAAAGTCTTCATACACCTGGTCGATGCATATTTCTTTTGGTTTCTCTTTGATCTAGATCAGACCAGTTTTGATGTGAGGCTCATCTCGCCAGTCGCAGAAGACGGCTTCGGCGATGCCTTGAACTTTTTTCCAGGGATGGAGTGTGTTTGATATCGCACAATTTCAGACCTCTAGCCACCTTGTATTGCGTCCAAGGTTTAAACGCCGATGTGTAGGCATTCATCTGCAGATAGCACATGAGTTCAATCAAACACGTGTTGGAGTAGACTCGGGTTATTACTCAGGCAGTCCAATAGATCTCCTGTCACTGCAAGGACGAACCTGGCTAGCACAGTGTTGGTTATGCACCCATCAGTTTCATAATTTGTTGACAGATTTCTTTTCTTTTTTCTAGGGATTCGCCAATGTTTTTGCCAGCTTCAAAACCCAAACTGGTTACATCTTTATCTATGGTGGACCGACCGACTTGTAAAAATTGGGTCTGAATTCATGAGCCATATTGTGTGCTGATTCTCAGAAGGTTTTTAACTTAATATGTAGGCAGACTCATTTATATATCATATGAGAGGAGGCTTAGGAGAATGTCGGGTTTCTGTTCAGTCTTGAAAAAATAATAAAATTAATAAAATAATATAATAAAAGAAATAATTAAATGTTGAAATAAAGTGATTTTCACTTTATTAATAAATTCATATTTACAGTATTTTTTATATACATCTGAAAAATGATATATATTTATAAAAATGATTTTTATTCACGTTATGTACCTGCATATTTGCGGTTGTTACAAAAACCACTTTCCCAAGCTCCTATCGCTGTGAAACTGCCTAAATAGCGTTTTCAGCGCATAAGACACACAACTCTGTGAGCACAGATGTCGTTAGTATTAAGCCATCTTGTTGAATCGTTCTTGATGAATAATGACTTTTGGAATATTTTTTTATTTTCATAATTTTTACATTTTTTATATTTTATTAATGAACTATGTATTTTAATATAAACAATCATATGAAGTGTCATTTTTACTATATACATGTGAAAAATGTGATTTGTCAGCACATCATGCAATATTTGCGTTTGTCAGAAAAAACACTTTGCCAAGCTCCTATCGCTGTGAAACTGCCTAAATAGCGATTTACGTCTTTAGTATTAATTCATTTTGTTGAATCATACTTGATGAATAATGACTTTTCTAACATGAATTTTCGTAATTTTGACTTTTTTGTTCTTTAATATTAAATTATGCATTTTACTAAAAATAATCGTATTAAGTATCATTTTTATTATATACATGTGAAAATGTGATTTGTATGTGCACAGTTGCGTTTGTTGGAAAAACCCCTTTCCCAACCAATCGCCGTGAAACTCCCTAAAAATCCTTTTCAGCGCCTACCAACTCGATTAGGAAACACGTCTTTAGTATTAATTCATTTTGTTAATTTTGTTGAATCATATTTGGTAAATAATGACTTTTCACACAGGAATTTTGCCTTTTTTATATTACATTAATGAACTATGCATTTTAATATAAACAATCATATTATCATTTTCAATATATATTTATGTAAAAAATGTGATTGCCAGCACATCATGCACGTGAATATTTGGGTTTGTCAGAAAAACCACTTTCCCAAGCTCCTATCGCTATGAAACTGCCTAAATAGCGTTTTCAGCGCCTAAAGAGGCACAACACTGTTATCACACGTCTTTACTATTAATCAGTTTTGTTGAAAGTCTTTTCAAACATTAATTTATTTGACAATTTTTTATTTTATTAATGAACTATTCATTAATTAAATGTAAAAAATGTCTAAGATGTGATGGCAAATCACATTTTTCACATGTATATATTGAAAAAGATACTTCATATTCTTTTTTTATATTAAAATGCATTGTTCATTAACAAAATAAAAAAAAGTAAAAATTAATGTTTGATTTATTAAAAGTCATTATTCATCAAATATGATTCAACAAAATGGATTAATACTAAAGACGTGTGTCCTAACAGTGTTGTGCGCTTTAGGCGCTGAAAACGCTATTTAGGCAGTTTCACAGCAATAGGACCTGGGGAAAGTGGTTTTTCTGATAAACGTAAATATTAACGTGTATGATGTGTTTGCAAATGACATTTTTCTTTTTTTTTTTTTTTTTACATCTATGTAATAAAATGTTACTTAATTTAATTGTTTATAATAAAATGCATAGTTCATTAATTAAATATAAAAATGTCAAAATTACTTTAATGATGTTTGAAAATTCATTATTCTTCAAATATGATTCAACAAAATAGATTAATACTAAAGGCTCTGAATACGCTATTTAGGCAATTTCACAGTGATAGGAGCTGGGGAAAGTGGTTTTTCTGACAAATGCAAATATTAACGTGCAAAATGTGTTTGCAAATCACAGTTTTCAAATCCATATATTAAAAATGATACTTAAAAGACTGATCATATTAAAATGCATAGTTTATTAGTAAAATTTAAAAAAGTCATAATGTTTGAAAAGTCATTATTCATCAAATATGATTCAACAAAATGGATTAATGCTAAAGACGTGTGTCCTAACAATGCTGTGCGCTTTAGGCGCTGAAAACGCCATTTTTCACAGCGATAGGAGCTTTGGAAAGTGGTTTTTGTAACAACCGCAAATATGCAGGTACATGATGTGAATAAAAATCACATTTTTCAGATGTATATAAAACATTATCGTAAATATAAATTTATTAATGAAGTGAAAAAAATCTAAATTTGATATATATATATATATATATATATATATATATATATATATATATATATATATATATATATATATATATATATATATATATATATATATATATATATATATATATATATATATATATATATATATATATATATATATATATATATATATATATATATAAATATATATATATATATAG